TCGTTACACAAAGTATTTTAAAGTCTACAAATATTTGTAGAATATATAAATATGTAAAACATACCAATAACTTCGATGAAACCCGTGTAGTTTGAATTTTCGTCTAAGAAACCATCTTGTGCGGCAAATAGTGGTAATTCAGAAGATCCATCATTACTCTTTGTTTTTTGAGTAGCTACATTTTCTCTTTTCCTTCTTTCTATAGTTTCTGTATGATTATTGTCTGTTAAAGTTGCAATAGTTGTTTCTATCTTCTGAGTAGTAGCAGCCGATGTTGTTGGAACAGGAGTTGTAGTCCATGTTACTGACGTTGTAGTAGTAGTTGATGTATTAAATGCTGAAGTGGTTGTTGAAACTTCGGGAACAAAATGTAATACTGGTGGAGTGACTTTTGGCCGAAGTCCAATACATTTGTTGCACATGCTGCTACTGTTGAATGATTCGCCATCGCCAAGAAAAATGTCTGATATCAATTGATCGCTATCGAATGTTTCGGCAACATAAGCACCGCCAGAAGGTGAATTATGAGCATATTGATAGGAATATACATTAATTTCCTCAGGTGGTGGTAAATCTGTGACACTTTTCTGTGGTGCTAGTTTTATTAAATAAACTCGATAACAACATATAGGACCATTTCGTTCTGTGATACGCGGAAGATACAACTGAAACAACTGTTTACCCTGATTCTCGATTTTTCTCCACGAACGCATGTTTAAGCTATCTCTGTCTGGTATGGTAATTGGCGTGGTACAATTACCAATAGCGTCCTTTCCTGGTGTACGGGATCTAGTTACACCGTTCACACGCACCGTGTAATTCGTATTAGCTGGTATCTGATTAAAATGTGTGCTATTTTTTTTAACACTCCAATTCTGTGGTCCCCAATTATCAATATCTAAACGGCCCACACCATTTTTAAATCTAGCAGTACCAATTAATTGTATATTATAACGAGTAATAACGCCATTAGGCTTCTCTGGATGAATCCATGTAATAGAGATGAAACTGGAGCTACTTATATTATCGAATCGACAATTAACGGTTAAATTTTGAGGAGGGCTAGCCACTAGAATTAAAATTATTATACAGTTAATTTTTTTAATTTTTAAAGTACAGAAAACACTGAGTTTGTGAATTCAATGATCTTACCACCGTCTAAAGTAGTACCATTCACTTCAGTGCTCCAGTTTCCACATTCCTTTGTGTATTCGCTACATGCCGCAATTTTAAACTTGTACGTTGTAGCAGGATCGAGATCAACAAACGCGTACACAGTAAATGGCTGCGCTGGATATACCGCTTCTCTTTTCTGATCTCCATGTGTAACCATTAAATTATAATAATGAACGTGTTCTTTCAAATCCAGTGGCGGCACTGTCCATCCTATTGTAATAGAATTTTCAGTGACTCCGTTAACAGAAACTTTTGGCACAAATATAGGATCTGCAATAAATTGATCCATTACTTAGTGATTCCGCAAAAACGGTATATGTACGAAAATATGCCTTATCTTAATACCTTTTTCAAGTGTAGTAATCCAACGTGGATCAAATCGTACGTGCGATGTACCTACGGTATTTGTAGCACTAATCCCAATTTGATACGCTGTACCACTTTCAAAGCCTTTCAAAACATAACTCGAATTACCGCCTCCAATTTGTTCAGAGTAATATTGATATTGGTTGGTTCCGTTTTTCATATGTTGAATAAAATATTTTTTAATCGGTTCGTTGCCGTCATTTACAGTCCAGTTCAAAAATATACTTCCGGCACCAACGGCTTTCATAAAATCAATGCTCACTTTTGGTACATCAATTACGAAAAGATGTCTATAATCACTAATTTCACCGCTATAATCGCGTGCTTTGCAAATATACGTTCCATTATCTTTACGTGTTAAACTTGCAAATTCTAAAGTCAGTACAGTGAGAGTTTCGTTTATTTGCGTGACAGTGGTAAAATCCTTCCAATGGTCAGTATTTTCTGAATCATTCCCTTTTAACCAAATAAATTGAGATAATGGATAACCATGCATGAGACATGTCAGGTTAGCTGATTCCATTACTTTTGCCCTAATGTCTTCCCCAGCTGCTATTCTACCTGGTTCTAAAATAAAAATTTTAATTTATAATTAAAAATATGAACAATAATACATAGGTCTCGCAAGTTGATCAACATTTACCAATAACTCTAATATGAACATCCTTCTTTAACAATTCTTCATCTGCAGTTTGTGCCATACATGTATAATCTCCTGTGTCATTTCTACTAGCCTGTTTAATATCCAAACGTCCTCCAGAGTCAAAATCTTTAATAGTGGTGAGATTCTTTCCATTGCTGGTCCACCATATTTGACCGGGTACATTGAGTTTACATATAAGCGATGGTGTACTACCAGCCTCAATACCTTCCAAATCTTGGGATGCTGTAATTTCTAACACTGCTGGATTCTCATTTTTTGACTCAGTGGTTTCTACTTTTTCAACAGCTGCACAAGAAGAACATGTGAAAATATAAATATGTTTCTATTGTCAATTAATATTAATTTTGATAGTCTAGGCATAATAATAATAAAGTAAATTATAGACAAACTGACTAATATTACTCATATTATTTGCCGTTATATCTGATTGAAGAGGAATTTTTAGCCAAATACTATATGAATGTACCAAATACTTGGCTCATTAATTCATTAAAATCATAATAGTGGAATCACACAAATTGGCCAAGTTTTGTCTTAACACAAATTACCAAAGCATATTTTAGTAAAAACTTTGTTACAACTTTTACAAGTCTTACAGTTAAATAATAAATTAATAAAAATAGAAAATTTAAACGTTATAAAGTTTTAAGGGAATAAGAATAAATTGATCACAATTTTCTCATTCATATTACAGAGAATTTTCTGATAGATGATTATAATTATTTTATTTTACAAATCATATAATGGTAAGTATAATTATGTATTACTACTTTTTTATAATCCAAAAACAACATGATTTTTAAATAATATCATATTACTATGTTCCTATTTTTTCTTATGTACAAATGTATGTACATGTGCATCGAGTAAACTCTTCATTTAATGAATTCAACAGTTATTACTGCGATGGCACCAGTGACTCAATGAGGCTTTTTTACGTCGAATATCTTTAAATTATATGTCATATCATGCGTCTAGATTATGTGCAACAAAATATAATCGTTAAATTAAGAAACAATATTATTTAAAAACTAAAAAATAAA